CATTATCTAATGTTATAGCCATCACTTTATCTCTTAATCTATATTCATCAATTACATTTAAAATTGTATTATATATTAAATCAGCGCTATGTGATCTTAGAACACATTTAAAACCTAATATTCTCTTATTTAAATTGAAGCCTTTAAAGTAATATCCGGTTACAGATAAATAATCTTTGTTGGCAACGGCAGACCAAATGTCTACCGTTAACGCAACGCAATCGCTAATAGAGTGTATGCTTCTTTTTCTTGTTTAAATAATTTTAACAAATCTTTCCTAAAAGTAGTTTTTGAAATAAACTATGCATTAGGATTGTGTACAACTATCGCTGCCGATTAGGATGCTCTATAAAACTAAGTGGTTGATCTAATGCAGCTATCATTTGCGCAACTTCTACACGATCTACTTACGGATCGTATTTCCAAGTGGTTAGATCACCGGTTGTGCGATCAAAAGATAATTGTGTTGGCGGATTTTGGCTCCGCCAGTTTGGCCACGCTTTTGAAGACATTTTTCGGAGTGTGTTTCTCAAGTGTGTTGTGTCGTGAATAGTGTCACCTTATAATTTAGAATAGCAATACTTACATTGAGCTATGTGTTTAGTGTTACCATCATTGTCGACGTCCTCAATTGTGTCGAAGTGATCCCAAACTATCGAGGTGCGCTTGCATTTTCTCTTGGAGCTTGCAACACTTACAGTAGCACTTGCACTTGCCTCTCCTCCACGCCCACCACCATTGCGACCAAGACCTCCACCATGTCCAACACGGCTCAGATTTGTAGGTTCCTCAGTTGCTTGTATTTGTGATTCCTGTGTAATAAATTCATTAGTAGGAAATTGTCCTTTCTGTTGAGCATCAATAGGAATACCACCATAACTAAAAGAATCAATTATAAAAAATAAGAGCGATTTGAGAGAGAGAGAGAGCTTTAGGATATTGTGTAAGTTTTAAAAAAAATTGTGAGAGAGATTTGAGAGATTGAGAGAAATTGAGAGAGTTTGGGTGAGAAAAATGTTTGGGCGATGGGAGGTATTTATAGGGAAATTTTTGAGTTGAAAAATTGATATTTCCCCCAAATTCGGATCCAACGGCTATTTTTGGAATATGCGGGTCGGGTTCGGGCCGAAATCGGGTAAGGGTAAAAAAAAAAAGAGCCGTTGGTGGTCGGGCTTTTGGGCAGCGGGTCAAGTCGGGCGCCAAATTTGAAACAACTAGCCGTTGATCGGGCTTTGGGCAAGTTGGGCATTCGGGCTGGAATTTGTGCCAGAGGGAAAAAAATCGACAATCGACAGTCAGGAGCTGCAATTCGGCAGCGGGCTTCCGCCATGTAAAATGTTTCTCGGGCAGCCCGAGCCCGAGCCCGATTTGTGCTTAAATGGGCAGCCATGGGTCCCTGCCCGCTGAGCCCGAAAAATTCGGGCTTCGGGTAGATCTGCGGACCCAAAGTTTCAGTATTGGTCCAACCTGTCTCTGGGATACCCTACCCCTACTCTAACAACTTATGTTGGTTAGTCAGACACTCCCCTAGAATAACCTTACAATTCTTACACCTACCTAGATCTTGTCTCCTAACAAGGAAGTAGTCAATTTGGGTCCTATTATTCCCACTCGCAAAGGTCATCAGATGATCTTCCCTCTTCTTATAGAAAGTATTGAAGATCCCAAAATCACTAGCTAAAGCAAAATCTAGAATAGAAATCCCCATATTGTTTTGAACCCCAAAGCCTCGACCTCCACGAACCCACCCTCTCATACCACCTCTATCCTTACCTACATGGCCGTTCAATTCTCCGCCTAGGAAAAAAAACCGAGGAAACAACTCAACCAATTTTGTGAAGAGAGGACAATATCTGATTCTATGTAAGAACCATATGAAGGAAGGCATCATTCGGATTCTACGAAATATTTATGTAAGCTCAATGTCTAATTCTATATGTATAACGGTATTAAGATATAAAACTAAAGGGGGGGAAAAAAACATGGGAAACATAATACCAGTTCAATGTATTTATACACATATAACGCTATTACAATACAAAACTGAAATAATTAATTAATTAATTAAATTAAAAGTTGTTAGTTCTTGCTTACCGTATGAGCTTGCATGACAAATAATAGATGAGGCCATTTGTTAAAAAAAAAAAACGGAGAGATTTTGCTCTATGAAGATCTCTCTCTCACATACCAAAGCAGAAAGGTGTTAAGAAAAGTGCGTGTGTGTTGTCCCACATGAAAAGTAGATGAAAATGTAAGATGATTTATATACTTGGAATGATTCAAGACCTAATAAGTTAATTTTTTGGGTCAAGTTGGGCTCTTAAAGTGTGTTGAGTAAGTTACTCATGTGGTGTCTTCCCAACAAGTGGTATCATAGCAGATGGTTCGTTCGGGTCAAGTGATCACACTCGATTGCAGTTGCAAGTGCGGCTGGTGGAGTATTTGGTGAACTCGCATGGTTTTGGCTCTATTTCCCATGCTCGAGTTGGCTCCTGTTGAGAGTGTAATGCTTGGATGTGTCGACTGCTTGAAACTTTTTGAGGGGGAGCTCAGTGAACACGAACATGAGGGGGAGATTATTGAGAAAAGTGCATATGTGTGTTGTCTGACATGGAAAGTGAATAAAGCTGTGTAATGATTTATGTACATAGAAATACTCAAAACCTAATAGATTAATTTTTTAGGTTAAGTTGGACTCCTAAAGTGTATTGGGTCAATTACGCATATAGTGCCTTCTCAACAAAAATGATGGTATTTGAGAAATCTTTTTTTAGGAGTGATCCTAAACTTTTGGTCGGAGGCTCGGAGCAGCATCTCTACACCTATAACCAAACTAACGGGTCTTTCCTTGACAAATATGGGCAGACCTTAGACCCTTGTATATGTATATAGGAGTCCCAAGATAGACGTACAGCGCCTAATTGAAGTCTAACATGTATTGATGTTTGATAAGAAATCCTCAGTAAAAATACGCGTGTGAAAATTGGATAATTTTTTAGCTTATTTTTCGGAGAGAGGTTTTAGCAGTTTTCCATTTGGATTTCAGAGTGTTCTCCTAGTTGGAATCATGTCACGATTTCAAAACTAATTTTAAAACAAGATTAATGATTAACTTTGACATAGTATTTGAAACATAGATCATAATCATAACTGAGATTTATTATAATACTTAAAACATTAATTCCCTCACATATTCTTAATTATTCTGAGAATCAAATTGGCTCCCAGCAAAATGATTACAATTTACATGACTCGGCTGATGCTAGACCAACAAAAGAAAGCAAAGAACAACAAAAGAAAGTTTCAAAAATTCAGAAGGGAAAAGAAAAATAACAAAAACTTTTCAAAACAATTCATATCAAACTTGTTAGCCTAAAAATATATTCATATAAGACTGAACTTCCGATACAATAACAATAAATAAAAAGAAAAAGAAACGAAGAGAAAAACTAGGAAACTAATAAACCAACTGTGAAGAGGAACAATATTTTTCTCTCTGTATAAGAACCATATAAAAGAAGGCATTAATATAAAACTAAAGAAAAAAAAACACCAATTGAAGTAAAACAAATATTGGTATTTGACAACAAATTTTTGTCACAAGTGTGTGTGAATACCTTGGAAGACTACTCTTAGTAAGAATCATGTCAGAAAAAATAGAGAATTTATCATTGAGAGTGTATAAGTCTGACCCTTTACTCTCTATTCTTGATAAATACATTTTTATTAATGTAATCATTTGATTAAAAATGTTATGAATCAAGAGTAAAGGGTAAAAATTTTGACTCGTACACTTTTAAGGAGTATTTGTCAAGATTACCCAATCATGTCACGATTTCAAAACTATTTCAAGCAAGCAGGACTTTTAAAACAGGATTAATTATGAACTTTGACATAGTATTTCAAACATAAAATATAGTAATACCTAAGGTCCATTATTATACTTAAAACATTAATTTCCCCACATATTTCTAATTATTCTGAGAATCAAATTGGGTCTTAGGAAAAAGATTACAATTAGCATGACCCCGGTCTCGGCTAGACCAACTAGTTGATATTTAGTGCAAATTTGGTGTGTTTGATTACTAAATTTTAGAACCGATGTCTGTTGTCAAATGCTCTCTTATTTTTGGGGTAAAAAGGGTTAAACTGCCGTGAGCCTGTTAATTTAATTCAAAACCATGAGAAAAGTCTCAGGAATTCAAATCACCTTTTCAATTTCAATATCTAAAATGGTATCTAATCATTTAAATTGTATCATGCGATTTTGAAATATTAGTGTGATTATTAAGACATCAAACGAGACACCAAAAATTAAATAGGTGATTTGAGTTCGACGAACTTAGTTATACATCCTTCATATAGTTTAATTAAGAACGTTAAATCATTATTTCGCCACCCTTTTCCATAAGACGCTGGAGTTAAAGACCCAAAAAAAAAAACCTTTTCAATTAAATACTCGTATCAAGGTGTTAGCCTAATATTGACTACTCTTGCTCTACTTCTCACCTCAGTATTTAGACTATTAACATTGATGGCTTAGCTCCTCAACGTTGTTAGGATTAAATTCAAAAATTCTCTCTAACCTTGTGTTGGGCAATAAATGAGGCATTTTACACGTAATGTAACTATTTTATGTTAAGATTCGAGTTATACATGATAAGCACAAACTTATAATTGTTAAATTTCAAAGATCTATGGCGCAGACAAAGTTAACAAAAATAATAAATTTAGGAACCAATATGCCACAGGGTATAGGTTCAGTTAAACTCTCAACAATTTCACAAAAAGTCTTCTCTTCCACAACTTACCTATATAGAAAACTAAAATTAGTATTGACGTGCCAAACCAAAAATTCCTCAATTTACGCCAAAACTGCCAAAAATAAGGGCGTTTTATACCAATGATAGCTCATTTTATAGACCAACTCATTAATCTAGAAATAAGAAGTGAAATAGTTGTCAAAGAAAAAAGAAGAAACAAAAAATAAAGGCTACATTTACAAAACAGAGAGAGAGAGAGGAAAGGGGGGGTTGGGGTGGGGGTGGAGAAGGGGGAAGCGGGGGAGTTGAAAAATCCAAAGCCCCAGGGGAACAAATAATTTGAGGGGGGAAGAAAGTGTTTACCGTTTACCCTTGAACAACATTTACACGGACTACTTTACAATCGTACAAAGTTAAGAATATGAGAAAAGAAAAAAAAAATAGTCTAACTGCATTAAGGTCAGGCAGGGGCTTGTATTCGCAGCTTGTTGGCAACATAGAGAAGATGACTGATATTCGTTGGTGGGTAGTTCTGTAACAGTTTGAGATTAGAGGTGAAATCGCCTGCTAATAGTCGCCTCCGAATGAGAATCAACATTGCACAACATACTCGAAGAAGGGTTTCCTACAAATAGACAAGTAAAATTGTTGCCTCCAAGAGAAGAGAAGAGAGCTCAAAGAAGGGAATTGCACCGAAAAGAAAATCCATAGGTACCCCTCCATCTTGGCAAAAACAAAACTCATAATCAAATTTAATATATGACCCAAAAAGATTTGGAAATAAGTCAATTTACACCCAATCTTTACGAGATACTTTTATGGTCAATAGCAAAGAAAGAGCTTTGCATCCACATCTAGGCCATGCCATATTATACTTGTATCCTCACCATGGAATTCATTTTTTCTTTCCCTTACTCCTAACAAGGTAACATAAATTTCTCATGATTTTACTGGAAAGAACACAGAAATTACTCAAATTAGAATGGCTAGAAAAGGTTAAATGCTGCTAGGACAGATGTAACTATGCTATATCTGGCATATGTTTGTTTTTCCTTCCTCAACCGTGCTTCCTAGTTCCTCCGCAGGCTTTAATGGAAAAAAAAAAAAAAAAAAGAGTAAAAAGTGTGGTCAACATGAGGTAAAGAGATCCTACCTGAGGACCTTCAGGGTCACTTAAAAGGGTGTCCCAGATGTGGAGGCTGTCTGCAAAATTGAATTCCTGGGTCAAGAGGAGGGTGATCCACCGAAATGCATAAAATTGAGGATTGACCTGTAAAATAAATCATAAAGCAGTAAGCATTTAAAAAAAAAAAATCCTCAATAGCTACAAACAATACATAACATTGGAAAATGAATGCCAGTCCGTGTCTCTTGGAAAGAGAAGGAAAGTATTTCGTACAAGATAGACCTTATGTTCTATTTCACTGAACAGCTAAACTAATTAGCTTTCCACTTGAGGCTAACTCAAGTGGTTGGTTGCGTGGAGTGTGTGTGTGTGTGTGTGAGATATAAAATTAAACAATAAATAAATAAAGAATAAACTAAACTAATTAGCTTTTATAGGATTTGCTTCAAAAGAAAAAGAAATTGCAGTAGGATTTGTAGAAATCCCCTAAACCAACTTCAATTCTGGGCATTAGTCACATACAACTCAACTTTTGAAAACTAGTACTAATGCTTGGGTAGGCCATATCAACTAGGCAGTAGAAAAGAAAATTTTAAATTTGGGGACACACTGCAAATCAAGGAAAATTACCATAGAAAATTATCATAGTAGATAGATAATGGATCAAATTATTATATAACATGCATCATTCAACATTTTTAATCAAACCCTAAAATCTTTTAGCCATTACTAATACTAACATAACTACTTGAAGTTCCAGCCCCCAATGGTCAACATAAGCCTAGAAATAAAGGCTCAACAGACGAACACAAACCCAAACAAAAAATGTAATTCAGTCTCTAGTTTATGCCAATTGAGCATGATTATAGTAAACGTGAGGAAAAGATACATCTTAAGTGTGAAATTAGTAATCTAGGAATAATCTAGGAATGTTGCTCTAGACCATACTGTAATGCCTTAATCAAGAGTCCGCCAAATTAGTAAGAAAGAAAACTTTGGTGTGAGGTATTCTGATCAATAAAAGTTATGTCTTACTTTGGTTGTGACCTCAAGATGACGCCATAGTTCTTCATCATGTTCCTTCAGAAGCTGAGATAACTTTGTAATTGTGGAGCGAATTCCAACAACACTATTGTCAAGTTGCTGACAGAAATTGTCACGGAATCCACTCAATAATTCGACAAAACAAAAGAATGTGTCCGCTTCAGCACAAGCCTATACAAAATTAGGAAATGATAAGCACAATCAAAACCAGAAACAAAAAGCAACAGCATACAGCATTACAGTTGTACATTTTTAATGAGATATTAGTAGCAATCGTACGACATCATACATTCAATTCTTATTTTTCTTTACTACAATTCGCAACTTTCATCCATGGAACATAGGATACTCTGTTTTAGGTATAGCACAAAAACCATGCGCCCAGGCCTTTATATAGTGCACCATGTTTAAAATCTTGCATTAGAGATTTGGCATAACATGAAGCAATTATACCAATTTATCTGATGGGGAAAAATTTTTCTTCAAAAGTACCAAAAAACAGAAAGCTTCTAGTTTCAAAGAGCCACCCGTAAGAGAAGGCCATGAGAGAAATTCAAATTCACGTAAAGAAACAATGAGAATCAAAATAGTTGTATTGTTGAATTATGTTGGGAACCTGATCTAAACAAGAGGAAATTGAATGAAAAAGAATTATTATTGATGAAAAAAGCATTGATAGAACAATTAGGAAACCCTAATTGAGTTAGTGTTCGAGAGACTATCTAACTCTCCCAGATCTTGGTTTCCCAAGCCCAAAACAATTCCCAAACAATTCACACAAATCAGACATATCCCTACTAACAACTAATTCCTCCCTTTTATACTACTAACTGTCCTCTAAACACTACTAACAATCTACTAATGCCCTCCCCACTAACGGATCCTAACAAATTAACCTCAAGCTACTGTTGCTGGAAGCATGCATGCAAAAATGTAGATCCAAATTAATGCATAAAATAGACTCTAGTTCAAACAGAAACAGTAAAATGAATTGGATACATTGAGGCTTCAGCAAGTGATGAAAGGATGAAAGAATAACGGCAATAAAGAAAAATAAAAATAACAAAGACATGTACTTAGTACTTACCATATTTTCCTCGTCAGGATCATTTTTGAATACATAGAATAAAGGTGCCAAAATCTCATTCATCCCTTGAACATATCTTATCCCTGGATTTAACTTCGCAAATACCATTAATATGTTCTTTAAAGCTTCCTGAAAGTGGAGAAACCAAACTCAGAAAACTTGGTTGAGCGTATAATGATAAAAGCATGTGGATATTATAGTTAAGCTAAAAATGAAGGGTGGACCTGATTAGATTTAGCAAATTGAGAGTCCCCAGAGAAAAAGTGCATGTCCGGGTGAGTGCGCTTCACATCTCGGTCAATCTGCTCTATGATTTCTGTGTCCTGTCAATCCAACAGTTCAAATTACATTTTAACAAGAATGTTGACCACGCACCTGCAAGTGTGGAAACTTTCCTATGCATGATTCTACCATAGACAAGGCCTGGGGAAGCTTGTCTTGTTTGTTGACGTTTCATTCAATTAAAATGTGCATCATATATTATGTATGTGTGTATATATTGTCGCCATCACCAACTATTGTACGCTTCTTTTTTTTTTTCAAGAACAAGAAATTTTGCAATGGTTTACAAACTATTCCAATTGTGCCATGAGAGAGAGAGAGATGCCATAGCTTTCAAAGGTTAGTCCTTGTCTTTTAACTTTTAAGACATTCAAAGGCTTTTAGGTTTTTAAAAATAAAATAAAATAAAATAAAAAAATTTATAGGAAACAGAAATTTCATTAATCAACTGAAAAATATGCAAAAGATGAGGATGGATAAGAGATCCACCCAAAGTTAAATAAATAAATAAAAACTACATACCAAGACAAAGTCTAAAATACTAATTGGGATCATAAATATCTTATAAGCATATGCCAAAATGCTCTCATTTTTTACAAATAAAGAAGATGATAAAGATCTAATTATGCCTCTAAATCGTAGTCTAAACTAAGTCCATGGTTTAAAAAGGCGTACGCATCGAGGCGCGCCTCGAACTAAGGCGGCCTCTTTGCGATTGAAGGCCTACGTTTCAAATGCACACCTAATGCTTGCGCCTTGAGGCGTTTGAGGCTCAAGCCCCGATTCACTTGTTCAGACGGATGAAAAAACATCAAAAGTTGGGTTTTTTTTTTTTTCTAAACAAACCCCACTCATTAGTTGCTTGTCTGCCCATTTAAGATAAAAAATAACACACCTTAAAAACTTAAAACAAACCCTAGCAACTAGCAAAGGCTGAAACGTGAAGGCCTCTTCTCCTTCTTCAACTGTAGCAACCAGCGGCTGATTCCGGCAAGCAGAAACTCCGCCGCTGATTCCAGCAACCATATTTCTCGCTTTCAGACTTTATGCACTATCTTATAATGTGATTTTATGGTTTTCTTGATGAACTAAGTTGGTGATTTGATTATTGTTGCCTATTTATGGATGTTCTTTATTTTTATGATTTTTTTTTTCACATTCAAGGCTTACGCCTCGATCCGCCTTGAGACGTACGCCTCTCCTCAATTAGAAAAAATACCTTAGTTCCCATTTCTGCTTTTTCAAAACCTTGATTAAGTCAACTTAAAATATTACCTGAAAGAACTGATTCCAAATGCTGGTCTTTCCAAGGCTCAGAGGATGCTCCCCATGACTTATTTCAGATCTTGAAAGCAAACAACGTCCTTCACAGTTTGAGTCGTCATTGTCGAAACTAGTGGATTTGTCCAGCCTCCTTGCAACTTCTGACTAACTAGCCACAGAAACAATAAGAAACCCAAATGCTTTGGAAGGGCGTAAAGCAGTAGATCACTACTCTATCAATCTTTAACTGGCACTGTTTCTTGACATCAGAATTCTACTACTATTGCATGCATGAATTGACAAGCCAGCAAGCAAGATACGTCTACAATTTCAAACAGTTGGAGGAGAATTGAAAATAAAAATTTTCAACTTCTTCCTAAGATATGAAATGGATCGGTAAAAAAAAGGCATTTATCATTGTAAAGCAATAAAAAATGAAAACCCACCAGAAAACGACCAATCAACTAAACAGGTAACAGAAACTAAAGGATAACTTATTAAAGAGGTTATCCACCGGGAAAAATATATATATTTATGTTTGTACATATATATACAATTAGACATATATATGTGTATGTAATATACAGTAACCAACACTTCAAAAAAAAAAGCATCTGAGTTTCAAAATGACCGTTGCCTTAAAAGTTTTCGACAACTCAAATATGTATTAAGTTCAAAACACCAAGGTGGCCATACTGTTGTTCTATTGCCCAGTATTCATTCATTTCTAAGCGTGATCTTGAGAACCCACGCTAAAGGGAGATTACGATTGAAAACATAACAACAACAACCAAAAATGTACAAAGAAAACCAAACAAACAAACAAATAACGAAATCGTCAACATGACTTACAGGATTCATCAAGAGGTCGTCTTTGAAATGCTTGTACTGGGATCTTTTCTTAGCCAACTCAGTCGGCCAAAGACTACGATCGGGTGGTAAATAACCCAGTAAGAGCTGCAACAATAAAAAGAAAGTGAAAAACTTGCTACAATCCAATTCCAATCAAAGAATCACTTGACAAGTGAAATGAGAAATCAACAAGAAAACATTAAACAAAAAAAATTCCAAGCCAAATTTCTCTTTTCCTTTTTCACGACATTTTGTCAACAAAGTTCAATCAAAGATTAGCAAGAAATGTACAATCCATACACACCTTCCACACCGTGGAACGAATCCCGGCCCCATCCGGTATCCCCTGCGAAGCAATTCTCCTCAACTCACGCATGTTTATCACCTTCTTCGATAACTACAAGAACACACACACACAAAATCCCCAATTATCAAGCAACAAACAGAAACCAAAACAACAACATCGAAAAACCAGCGAAAGACTCGAACCTCGGCCAGAAGCTGAGCATGACGAGAGATGTCCTCAGCAGAAGGCGCACCGGACGCACCATTTTCCTCCTCGACGGAGAGCGAATCTTCGGTTTCGCGCTTCGCCGGAGGCGCTCTTTCCGCGGCGGCGGAGGGGGGAGCCACGGGGACCGGCGGCTCGACCTTCGCGGGCTCCGACGTCGAGGTCACGGTTATGGCGGCGGTGGTCGCGGAATTCGAGGCGTAGCGTTGGAGGCTATCGTCGTCGGGAGGTGGATTTGAGGACCAGAGGGAGCTGTTGAGCCAGTCCGGTACTCTCTTCTTCACCATTGTTGCTCGTTCTCGATTCGATCAGAGTCCAGATTCGACTTTCGAATCGGAATCCAAATTGTAAGAGTTGATTTGGGGATTTTCTAGGGTTCGTGAGCTCTCGATCGATTTCAGTTTCTTCTGTGTCTGTGTTTGTGTTGTGTTGCGTTGTTTCTACTATCAAACTAACAGCTGGGTGAGAGAAGAAGCTTCCATTCACGATCTGGTGAAGCCACGTTATGATTTATTACTTTTTTTTTTTTTTTTGCTCTTATTGAGGTAAAGGTAAGTAAATTATTTTTCTATAATTCTAAAAGTTTTGCATTATTTTTCAAAATAAAAGAGATTCCATAGGTTAAATTTTTTTAATAATTAAATTTATGTATTTTTTAATTTTTATGTGATTTTTAAAAAAATTTAATCTATCTATTGTCAAATATTTAAAATAAACCTGTCCAAAGAATTCCAAAAGTTATGAATAATCAAGATTATATTAGCTCCAAAATTTATTTGGAATGAAATAGCTTGCGCGTCTCTCAATGTACACAGAAAACACACTTTGTAACAATTTTTTCCTTTCTTATATATCAACCAGGAATTTAACAAAAATTAAGGATTTTTTTTATAACACAAAAATTTTAAGAATTTTGTAAATTGCGTTGGTCTTTTTTTTTCCATTGTCACTTTAATAATTATCATAAATTCCTATTTTAATTATCAATAATTATCGTAGAATATACAATATTAACTTGTAATAACTACAAATATTATTAAAAAAATTCTTACAGTTAGTGTTGAAAATTTGGGCCGACAGGCTTATCCGAAACCTGAATTTTTCAGGCTCGGTAGGCAAGCCCATAAGGTCACACGTCCAAGCAAGTTTTCGGGCTCGAGCTCGGGCTTGGGTTGCCCGAAATTGGACGACATCGCCGAAGCCCGCTGCTGAAAGAATGCCATCAACCGCTGACCACCGGATCTTTTTTATTTTTTCCCTCCGGCCCAAATTGCCCGAACCCGAAGCCCGAAAGCCTGACTCAATGGCTCTTTTTTTTTTACCATTGCCCGAATTTCGGCCCGTGCCGCCCGAACCCAACCTGCCGAAAATTGAAAGTAACCATTGAATCTGAATTTTGGGGAAAAAATCAATTTTTTAACCTAAAAATTTCTCTATAAATACCCATTATCCCCCGCACATTTTTCTCACCCAAACTCTCTCAATCTCTCTCAATTTCTCTCAATCTCTCTCAATTTTTATATAATTTTAACACAAAATAACTAAATAATTATTTATATACAAATACACTTACTAAATAATAATATATTATAGATAATATATATACAATATTATAAAAATTTAAAAAACCACTCGGGCGGGCTCGGGCTGCCCGACCGGGCTTGGGCAGTCAAAACCAAGCCCCCGGCCCGTCCATGGGCCTTCTCGGGCTCTGGTGGGCGGCCCAAAAAAATCAGACTAGCGAGTTCGGGCGTCGGGCTCAAAATCAAATTTTTCGGGCTGTCGCAGGCAGCCCATCCAAAGTTCCAGCACTACTTATAGTGACACGAAGCAATAACTAAAATTAATGGGTGTGTTTGGAACTCGTTCTTAAATGATTTTATTTTTTGTATGAAAATGGAAATGAAAACGTTTTCAATCTCAGACAGAAATTATTTTTGAAAATGCATTTAGTAGTTTTATCAAGAGATTGTTTTCAGTAAAAAAATCCATTAATCTCTCTCTCTCTGCTCGAGAGATGAGAAAACAGAAACAAAAAATGAAAAATGACTAAAAGTCATTTTTCATTTCTCTCCAATTTTACACTGAACCAAAAAATCGTTTTCATTTTTGTTTTTTGTCTTTAATTATGCCAAAAGTCGTTTCTCTCCCGTTTTTATTTTTTCTGTAACACCCCTTATACCATCTCTTTTCAAGCCTTACTTATTATTAATCCTAAGGATGTGCCATAATAACTAACCTTCACTTTTCACTTATGCAGAAATTATGGTGTTTCAAAATTTTTGCTTAAATAAGACTTCATTAATACACCATTCTTATTAGGTTTTTTAGCCATAATTATAATTATACAGTCATCTAAGGTTTATGAGTTTAGCCTCAAAACATATGTATTTACAAATCCAAAATAATACGCGTGCGGCTTCTTCGGTCTGACCATATGTACCTCGGTCAACAAAGACAACTCCCCTACTTAATGTTCTGCCTTGTTCTTACCTTTACCTACAGCACAGAGCAAACTTAAATGAGCTATAGGCTCAGTAAGTAGAGCTACAATTACACAATCTCATTTTAACATACACATGTGATAACTCTAAGAAATTAGAGTTATCCACTGGTTTTGTAGCCTAAAATTGTTTGTCCATGAGTGATTGTTCTCGTTTATTGTTTGTTTTAAGTTAGATTTGTAGAGTTGCATGTACTTTGGCCTAATTCCGTATTGCTGCGCCTCTTGAAGTGAAAGCTGGCAATTGGCCAATAGATCCATTAAGAGACCACGGGGAATAGTGGAAGACGTTCTGTTGCAAGTCGACAAGTTTTATTACCCCGTGGACTTTCTTATCTTGGATACACAATCCGTGGTGAATATGGAGTCATCCATTCCCATCATTCTAGGAAGACCTTTCCTTGCCACAACAAACGCACTTATCAATTGTAGGAATGGTCTCATGAAGATATCTTTCGGGAATATGACCCTTGAGGTGAATATTTTTCATATTCAAAAGCAACCACGTGATGATGATGAGTGTCAGCAAACATTCATAATTGACACACTTGTCGAGGAGGAGGTTCAACTGCAAAGCAACTCTGAAGATCTTGAAAACCTCCTCCAAAATTCTGATTCTGAAAATTCCGGTTCTACTGAGTTGGCTTACTTGTCTGCAATTTTTAACAACTCACAGGATAGAGGAACCAAGTTTGGGCCACCATGTTTTGAGGAGCTCCCAACAAAAGGCGAAAAACTGAAATCATCCACCAAGGAGGCCCAAAAAGTCAAGCTAGCCCAACTACCTGAGGGCTTAAAACATGCGTTCTTGGGAGATGAAGGCACATTCCCAATCATCATCTCGTCTAAACTCGATGCATTGCAAGAACAACAATTGATCGACAAGCTGAAAGAGCACAATTTCAAGATCAAGGTAAAAATGAAAGCGGCTCATGACAAGCAGATCCCGAGGAAGAATTTTGAGCCGAGTCAACGGGTTCATCTCTATGATTCCCGTTTGCATCTCCATCTCGGTAAGTTGAGGTCGCGGTGGACTGGCCCATTCGTAGTGAAACGTGTTTTTCCTAATGTTGCTGTCGAGGTTGAGGACCCGACCAATGGGAGAATCTTCAAAGTAAATGGTCAGCGTCTAAAGAATTACTTAGAGCGGGTGAACCAGGTTGAAGAGATCATTTTCGACGACCCCGTTTACCAGCCCTGAGTAGTTTACTCACATCTTCTGTACCATATTTTCATTTTCTATTTTTCTTTGCTTCTTTTTACATTTTTTTATATGTGTTTTTGAAGAATCATATCAGGAAGCTCGGGCTGTGCTCATATGTGAGTGCAAAGGTTTTCTCTTATGGAGTTGGAAATGAAACAATCAACGCTCAGTGTGAGGAAGGTAAAATTTAAGACAAACAGTCAAACGAACATTGACCAAAGGATAGGCTAATCAACTACTAGAACATTCCACCATTCTTACCACAAACTAACTTTTGGGATTTCATTCGGGTCAAACAGAAATTTACAAAAACGAACAAAGAGCCAAAAAAATGCATAGGAAAATAATTTTCTTTTTTCTTTTTTTTTTGGCAAGAGACAACCTACAATAATTAAGTGAATGTAGAAAGGTGTTCTTTTGACAAACAGCTATATAGCATCGAATGTGATTACGACCAAACTAGAGGATCTGTGAAATATTGCTCTTGCTCAGTTTTTTTTTTTTTTTTTTTTAAAATGGAAGGATAAGAAATGAGGCTCTATTACATAAGATCATTCCTATCTAACCCAAAATCCATCCCTCAAGCATATGCACCAAGCATACCACTAACCATGTAATGATGTTCTAACAGTGATTTTACCAGCTCAAAAGATCAATGAAGGTTCAAAAGTCGTTTACTCTACTCACCAAAAATCAAGCACTTAAACTTGGGAATTTTCTCAGTTGACATGCATTAACATCCATCTTTCCACAAGGTTTAGCACGTGTAAAAAGAAACTCTGGAAGTCATTTCTTAGTAACCAAGACAGCGAAAATTGACCTAAACCAAACATTTTGAATCATACTCAGATAACTTCGCAAAAATTCTCACCCAAATATTAACATGACAAAAATCACTCTTATGCGTGAATATGCTCACCACCCCCAACCAAAATCAGACAATGTCCTCAATGTCAAAAAAATATGGAAATATAGAGAAAGAAGACACCTGGATGAAGAACATTCCACATATGAGCACAGCTTGAGCTTCCTGATATCATTCTCTAAAAAAAAATGTAAAAAGAAGCAAAGAAAACAGAAAAAGAAGATATGGTACAAAAAATGTGAGCCAACTACTCATGGCTGGTAAACGGGGTCATCGAGAATGAGCTCTTCAACCTGGTTCACCCTCTCCAAGTAATTCTTTAGACACTGATCATTAATAGAAAAAATAACTCTTTTTCAAAGCCTATTGGCTCATTTATTACACTCACTCGTTAATAGACAAAATAACTTTTTTTCAATTCCAATTTTTTTTACTTACTTATTCCCACCTTTCTAGGAGTCAACTCCTCCTTTCCCCCTAAATTTTATAAAAAAAGGGGCTACGTATACACAAATAAAAGAGACAAATACTTAGTCTCTTGGTTGTTCTCCCTGACCTTGCCCGAAAATGACCCACAGCCTTCATTGGATGCTTAACAGAGGCAAGTGTCAGACTCGCTTTTGGCCTGAACCACGTTGAAAATGCCCAACTAGCTCCATTAGCTGCATAATAACCCAGTCCTTCATCTCTTTGGTAAACCCTCCCCTGCGATTGACAAAAGCCACCATTAAACCATGTTGGAAACGCTTTACCAACGTAGGCTTGTGGAGAGATTTTTGCCAAGAATTCAAACACTCTTGGAGGGACATTTTCCTCATCTTGGTGCCCCCATGCTTGCCTATAAATACCACACCTCTACACTCTAAAAACCAGAGAGCAAGCCAAGCATAGCTCTCCCACTTAAGAGAAACTCT